TTACACTGACCTGAGACATTTGACTGAGACACAAAGGACACTGAGACGCACACTGGAAATGTTGCTGAAAAACTTGAATTTCCCTCAGGATCAATAAAGTATCTCTCTCTGTTGATCAACATCATCGACCAGTTAATCAACTAAACGATTTAAGGCCTCCAGCCCTACAGTTTCCAAAGAGCTCTAGTCTTTTTCAGGTTCAGGTTAGATGAAGCTAAGGCTTGTTGTGGAAAAAATTATGTATCTCTTGAAGATAAATAATGAATCAATTTACGAAGCTCGATGAGCTTTTGGAATATTGACCCAAGTATATTCTCGTTACAGCAGATATGGACAGGGCCTAGTCCTGCCCTGACCAGAGCTCCAGCCTCTCTCCAGCAGTATGTCTGAACCACATCTTGCCCCATCTTCCAAGTATCTCCACAGTATCTGCCCCGTATCTCCCCAGAGCATTTGAGCTCTGAGTATTTATACAGAAATACAAGTTACATACATATCAAAGCAGAGTGACATTGCTTTCAGAGGCTGGTGCTAAATGAACAAACAAGTTGAGGACAACAAAAGGTTTCCTGAAGGAGGAGACAGTTGTGTCTGATGAACCTTTACACATGTTCATGACTGCTCTGGTCTCAGGTACAAATCACATTCATTTACACAAAGATAGAATGAGAGAAATCTTTCCACAATCTAAATTTCTATCACAGGATAAATACTAGGACTGGGTATTATTAAGAAATCGTATATCGTATCATGTAATGTGATGATACAGTATCAATATCATCAGCTGCTAGGGCTGGGTATCATTAAGAAGTTGCCGATACAATACATACCTCGATACACAGACCACGATACAATACATATCTCGATACAGTGCACTTTTGATTCGATATGATATATTTCAAATCAATTCAATACGGTTCAGAAAAAATAAAGGCAAAATGATGACTGTGATACTAAAAGTCTTGGTTAACCCTCTTCTTGTGCAAAGTTCATATGAAACACAAACATTTTAATCATCAAAACAGTAAAAATGTCAAATGTGCTGCATAAACAAGTTTCTGTAGCACCGTAACAAAATAATTCTGTAAAATAATACTAATATTTCTGTAGCACTGTAACAAAATAATTCTGTAAAATAATAATACTAATATTTCTGTAGCACTGTAACAAAAATATTTAGTAAAATAAACCCCCCCAAAAAAGCTCTTGGCGATATATTGATACAGCAGCCCATAGGGGTGTGCAAAAATATCGGAATATCGATATATCGTATCATTTAATGTGATGATACAGTATCGATATCATGGGCTACTGTATCGATATATCACCAAGAGTATTTTTAAGTGTGTTTTACTAAATTATTTTGCTACAAAGCTACAGTTTTGTTGCTTATGGAGTGAAAGGAAAGTCATTTATGCAGCACATTTGACATTTTTACTGTTTTGATGATTAAAATGTTTGTGTTTCATATGAACTTTGCACAAGAAGAGGGTTAACAAAGCCTTTTAGTATCACAGCCACAATTTAGCCTTTATTTTTTATTGAACCGTATCAAATCAATTTGAAAAATATCATATCGAATCAAAAGTGCACTGTATCGAGATATGTATCGTATCGTGGTCTGTGTATCGAGGTATGTATCGTATCGGCAACTTCTTAATGATACCCAGCCCTAGCAGCCGATGATATTGATACTGTATCATCACATTACATGATACGATATATCGATATTTCAATATTTCTGCACACCTCTACTAAATACACACCACAGCCAGAAAACTAAATGACTTAACACCTTCTTGTGAGCTGCTGAGATCAACCTTTTGATAAAAAAGATATAATTCAAGTACAATTTTTATTTATTTAGAATTCATTGTGGTGATGTAACTTGCGAACAGCACAGGACCAGGACCAGGGGAGAATGGGCACCAAAACATCCGAACCCTGCTTTATGTGGAGGGTCCACCACTCCATGGTGATCTTATTGCTTTGCCTTAAAGAATGAGTCACAGTAAACAAAATAATTTATTGTATCTGGTTGGACAAAAAACAGAGAATCAGACTGAGCAGCTTGGATTCTTTAATATCACTCTAATTTCACTCTTAAGAAAATGCACAAAATAAAATCAATTTTCTGTCACAATAATTTCCCAGCGAAGGACGTCCCACTGTAAACAATAACAGCCATAATCACAGAGACACGTCATTTTACACCAGCAAAGCAAAATGCTGCTGTGTTCAAAGTGTCAAAGGCAGTGAAAAGTGATGCAAAATAATACAGATACAAATATGATCTTTCAAACAAGACACAGAGAAAATATTTCTGCACTTGAGTGGTTTGTTTTACTGTAACTGCAGCATTTACAGGCACGCTAGCATGAGCATGATTAACTACAATATCATCAGATTAACATCAGTGAAATAATCTCTCTCAAAAACAGAGATTTTTACATCTTTTTTTTTTACAGAATTTCTAAAACAGTAGTTAATGCAGCATTATTTTCACCAATTCATTAAAAAATGACACAATTCAAATCAGTTGTGTTCCTGTTTTACAGTTTTGCAGCTGATGGCATCTACATTTCCTGGCCTGATGCTAACTGTAGGCACTGCTCTGTCTGAGGCTTTATACACGCATCAAGAACCTCGGACTTCAGATCATTGCGCAATTCATACTGGGAAGGATTTTCTGAAAAAGTGAGCATCAAACCTCCATGTTTGTTTTCCCAGTGGGATGTGTCTATTGACAAAGTCGATCTTTTCAAGTCTTTTGAACCATATCACTTTTGTTTCTGGTTCTGATATTGTCATATTTTAGTTTTGGGATTCGGACATCCTTAATTGTGTGGTTGTTGGATCCTAACAGTGGAAAACAGCTTGAGAAATGTTTGTAAACTCCATAAATGCAAAAGTGAATCAGATGTGTGTGGCTCAAACCTCTGTTCAAACTGTTTCTCTTCCCAACGGAATTGAAAAATAGTGAAAGGCAAAGGTGATGGGCAGGATTGATCCACAGGAAGGATGAAAAAGGAAACCTTTGACTGTCTAAATAATCCCGAGATTGCAGAGAACATTTTGTTTGTGGAGCGACAACATAGCGGGATCTTGTTTGTTAAGTGAGAGGTGCAGAAGACAAACAGACTGAGCTGCACTTTCTTGTTCTTGTAGTTTCACAGCAACATCACGTCTTGGTCTCTTTGCAGTGGAAGGTGTTTCTTGGTGAACAGTTGGTGTCTTTCACTTTGGCGTTAACTTTTTAAATTCGTAACCGAGGCTGAGCGAGAGATCGGGATTTTGCTTTGTTGGCGCTCCACATACAAAATGTTCTCTGCAAACTCAGGATGATTTCTAACAAGACAAATGTTTCCTTTTTGGTCCTTCCTGTGGATCAATCCTGCCCATCGCCTTCACCTTTCACTATTTTTCAATTCCTTTGGTATGGAGTAAGAAAGCTGTCAAAAATATTCGTGCGCATAAAATAGAAATCCGTGCGTATTTGGGAAATCCGTGCATATTTGGCTGTAGTTGCGCATAAAATAAATATTTGTAAACTCTCAAATGAGTCCAGTCGTACATAAAATATATTGTGTGTATTTTATCCATCAGAATACGAATTGAAAAATTACGACGTCATGAATTACAATCACGAAAAGAAAATTTACGATTACGCTTTCATCAGTACGAATACGAATTCACAGATGGAACTTTACTGTCAAAAATACGTCATCACTTCACAGACATTATTCATTGAGCAGAAGAAACATCGATCAAGATCAAGACTGCACATGCTCAAGTTTGTAGCAGAGGGTAAAAACAGAGTAATAGCACAAGAAGCTACAACAGCGACCAACAAGTGGGTTAATTAAAATCTATTGTAAAAATGTCTTGAATTCGGGAACCGAACGCTGCTGTATAATATTGTGTAGAAACACCTCCTTTGAACGGGAAATTGCACCTATATGTTAGATAACATAGTGGAGCCAGTTGGCAACATCCGACGTAACGTTATCCCAGGGCTAATTAGCAAATATCAGCTTCTCTGTATGTTTAGATTAAAACATTCACGACTACAGCCACAGCGAGCATCAGTCAGTCTTCACTTCAGCTGCATTTCTCGCATGAAATGCCACCAAAAGTTCCTCGGGACGCTGAAATGTCCCAGTTTACACCAAACACTACCAAACTGTCCTGGTTACGACGTCACAGCTAATGAAATGTTACACATTACAGTTTAATGCAGCTTCCAGCAACAATTAATGTTCGTGTTTACAGGCAACACCTTGGTATGTTTACAGTATTTACCGGTAAGTATAACGTCACAGTGACGTGGATGGATTTGCTCATTATAACCCATTATAACTCATGAAAAAACCATTGTCTGAAATGCAGCTGAGATGAAGACTGGCTGATGCTCGCTGTGGCTGTAGCCGTGAATGTTTTAATCTAAACATACAGAGAACCTGATATTTGCTAATTAGCCCTGGGATAACGTTACGTCGGATGTTAGCCAACTGGTTACCACTATGTTATCTAACATATAGGTGCAATTTCCCGTTCAAAGGAGGTGTTTCTACACAATATTATACAGCAGCGTTCGGTTCCCGAATTCAAGACATTTTTACAATAGATTTTAATTAACCCACTTGTTGGTCGCTGTTGTAGCTTCTTGTGCTATTACTCTGTTTTTACCCTCTGCTACAAACTTGAGCATGTGCAGTCTTGATCTTGATCGATGTTTCTTCTGCTCGATGAATAATGTCTGTGAAGTGATGACGTATTTTTGACAGTAAAGTTCCATCTGTGAATTCGTATTCGTACTGATGAAAGCGTAATCGTAAATTTTCTTTTCGTGATTGTAATTCATGACGTCGTAATTTTTCAATTCGTATTCTGATGGATAAAATACACACAATATATTTTATGTACGACTGGACTCATTTGAGAGTTTACAAATATTTATTTTATGCGCAACTACAGCCAAATATGCACGGATTTCCCAAATACGCACGGATTTCTATTTTATGCGCACGAATATTTTTGACAGCTTTCTTACTCCATACTTTGGGAAGAGAAACAGTTTGAAAAGAGGTTGCAGTCACACACATCTGATTCACTTTTGCATTTATGGAGATCACAAACAAATTTCTTGAGTCGTTTTCTGCTGTTAGGATCAAACAACCACACAACTACAATGTTCGAATCCCAAAACTAAAATATGACAATATCAGAACCAGAAACAAAAGTGATATGGTTCAAAAAGACTTGAAAAGATCAACTTTGACAATAGACACATCCCACTGGGAAAACAAACATGGAGGTTTGATGCTCACTTTTTTGGAAAATCCTTCCCAGTATGAATTGCACAATGACCAGAAGTCTGAGATTCTTGATGCATCTATTAGACTTTAATCTGAGCTTCATTTAACATAATCTGACCAGGAGCTAGTTTAGAGCTGGTTTACCTGAACTCCAACAGGTGAGCAGATTTGTGCTGTTAAACAAGTCAAACACATAAAAACACATAAAACTACAGTCACAAGATAGCTAGCATTAGCCAACTATTTTCAGTTTTTCACCTTTTTGTTGAAAATCAAACTCTGAATCAGGATTATGAACACTCGTATTCATCACAGACTCCTGAAAATGTGTGGTTTACATCCATTTAGTTTTTTCAGACAATCTTAAATGTATATTGACAGTGTTTGCTAACGTGTGCATTGTATCACCATGGTAACTCCTAAATATTCCACCATTAGAGATTCACATAGAACACCCCCGGCGCGATGTCACTGCAAAGTATGAAAATAACTCCATAGAAGACAACAATCATGACTTTATAAATAAATATTGTTGTCGATATTCATAATTTTTTCCTTAATAGCACAAAAAATCTAGTTATTTCTTTATCCTGGCAGAGAAGATGTTCAATTAGTTCCAGTAATTACAAAGATAAAAACCATAAACCAAGTCAACAAATCTACAGTGTGACAGTTCCACAGCAAACTCCAGCTGAGACTCTGAGCTGTCGTCCACCTTAAGAAGATTCTGAAGAGCTGATGTTACACAGAGTCTCTTCAGTCAAACCAGTGGAGAGTGAAAGACGCATAACACTACATTTAAAGATAATGTAAAGTATTTGGATATTATTACATAGTAATACAAATATTTGTCAAGTAATGATCAGCAGTGTATTGGCATGTTCCACGGCTCTTTGTTTACTACATTGTTTTTGCTAATGTATCTGTTAGTGTTTTGCACTATTGTTTCAAACATGACACATTTTCATAGTTGCAGTTGCTTTTTTTTTTTTTTTAAGAAAGGGTATTACACTTCTGTGGGGTTTTAACTGTAACACATCATATGTTTAGATCACCTTTTACCTTGTATTGTTTTGAAAATACTTTCAATAGGTTTAATTTTCATTTGACGCTCCCTCCCTTTGCCCTTCATGCTAAGTCACTCCCCCTTCAGAGCAGTATTACAACACAATCAGTGTGCATCCCGCTAAAGAAACGACTGCACCTCGCATCAGGTTTGTCAAGTTGTAGTGCATTGTTCTGTATCATGCTTTTATATATTTGTGGAGAATTGTTGGGAGGAGCATGGGAGACGTGGACTTGGGGGCTTTGAATAGAATCACACTGCTCATCCTGAGGAGGGTTTGAAAAGAGGCCAGGAGAGATCACTAGATGTCTGAAACATGTATGGATGGCATATAAAACCTCTTCAAGCATGTTTTCATGATGACACAACATTATAACATGATAGAAAGCTCCAAAATCATAAATACCCCCTCTTTAATATTCTATCCCAAGCTCTATTTCAAACTATGGGCAGTTTAGAGGTCGTGATGTCCATAAATTCAACATATATGATGTACCCGTATATATTTTCTCAGTAATGTGTCATTTCACTAGAGTAGTTTATGAAAACTTGAGCCTTGTCAGTCTTTGGTTTGTATAAAAAAGTCATTCTTGGTCCTCGTTGATGTCCAGGGGTCCGCGGTTTGGGGGCAGAGCCGGGCTGATCCTCTGCCATCGATGAGGAGGCCAGATGATGTGAGACGCTCGACCGTGAAGAAGTCCAACAGAGACCTGGACAAACAAACAGGGCATGAACTTCACTTGAGTCGACTCTCATCACTGGGTATGTTCACCTGGACAGTATAAATCAGACAACACAATAATTAGATCTGATTTCTGATGAGTGGTTGCAAAAATACCTGGTGACCCACCAGGTAAGGATTTCTGTAATATAACGGTCAATAAAACAGTATGTATATATATTTATATATATATTTATATGTATATATATATATACACACACACACACACATACACACACACATATATAAATATATATATATATATATATATATATATATATATATATATATATTATATATATATATATATATATATATATATATATACATACACACATACTGTTAATAAAACAGTATATATATATATTTATCTGATTTATAGAATTATCCAATTATATATATATATATGTGTGTGTGTATATATATATATATATATATATATATATATATATATATATATATATATATATAATTGGATAATTCTATAAATCAGATAATGATCAGGTTTTGGTGTGTAATCTAATAACAGTTTCACTCCTGTATCTGTATATTGTAATTTAATTTTACAGTTACACATGAATCCTGACAGTGAATGACAAATACTGAACAGTGAATAGATTTAGAAAGTCCAAAAGGATATGGTTTATATTAGTAAATATATGTGTACCGGCCCAAAGCTGTTGCTGTCCAGACTGTGTCCATGGTGATCTCCTTCAATCCAGAAATGTCCATCAGGAACTTTGACGTATCGATTCTTATACCCCAGCGTTCTAAAGGGAATTTCAACAGAGAAGAATATTATAATCAAAAACAATAAAATAGGCAAGCAAAAAATATATATAAAATAAATCATCATCAGGTCTACTCCTGGTCTAAACCAGGACTAAACCAAATCTAAAGCATCTCTGACAGATATGGACCACTGAAAACCCCAAAAAACCTAGAAGAGCTATATTGACTAAACCAGGTCTAAACAAGGACTAAACCAGGTCTAAACAAGGACTAAACCAGGTCTAAACAAAGACTAAACCAGGTCTAAACAAGGACTAAACCAGGTCTAAACAAACCAGGTCTAAACAAGGACTAAAGCAGCTCTGATAGAACCTGAACTCTCCTGACCACAAACACTTTTTGGAGATGTTTGTGTGAATTATCATCATTGCATTTTCCAATTTAGAAAGAAAAAGTCAAGGAAAAATGCTTGATAAGTTTCTATAATTTCATCACATTGGCATCTTTTTTTTTTTTTTTTTTTATAATTTGTAATTTATTCAGTGCTTTTTTGTCCACATACATCATAATATACATGTTCTTCCCCCCAGAGGAGGTGCTTCAGAGTTCCTTTGGCTTGGCATTTCCAGCAGTTTTCTGAGTCTTTAAGCTTGAGTCTAAATAACCGTGATGGAGTCCAATAGAAGCAATTCAGGATTTTAAAATTAATTAACTTGATTTTCACATATCTAGACAGTTTATTTGTGTTTTCATTTTATTCCAGTCTTTGTCTGTCAGATTAATATTAAGATCTGAAGACCAGATTGTTTTTAACGTGTAGAGCATCGGATGCTTATGTTGAAAAATATGACTGTAATAAAAAGATGCCTCATGTCCCAGTCCCATTTTTTTTATTATATGTGATAGAAGAGTTGACTGTTGAGGGGGAGAGTGATTCCAATAACTGTATTAAGTAGACTTCGAAGTTGCAGATACTTCCATAAATAATTTTTTGGCAAATTATATTCAAGTGTCAGTTTTTCAAATGATTTCAATGCATCTCCCTCATACAAATCTGCAAGTTTAACAATTCCCGTGGTGAGCCAATCCTTCCACACAAAACACTGTTTATCTATTAAAAGCTTTGGATTGTTCCAAATACAAGATTCAGTATTAAGATGTACATTTAAATTAAATATATGAGAAATCTTTTTCCATACATTAAGGAGATTTGCTATAATGGGATGGGACTTAATCTGAGGGGTCTTTTTAATTGCTAGAGCATCTATTGGATTGAGTGGAGAGAACAATTTAGACTCTATTCCCATCCATGGAGGGGCTCGTTCAGGTGGCAATGCCCATTGAGCAATGTGTCTCAGACAGAAGACATAATGATAAAGAATTAGTTTAGGGAGGCCCAAGCCTCCATTGGCATCTTTAAAAATGTTGTTTGACGACTGAGACAGGAACAGGGTCAGAGCTTGGAATTTTCTAATTCTAAATGGCAGAATATGTCCATTTCATCTCTATCAAAAGAAAAGTGAAGAACAGTTTGATTGGCTCGGGCTGAATCAAAGGTCAGGACAATCTGAAGCGACTGAACATTTGTACAAACTGGTGGAATTTTATTTTACTTTTTTTTTATCAAGCAAGAAATTGAGTTTTAAAACATTCCCACAATATGTATAATATTTTATATTTGTCTGTGATCTGTAAAGATGGAACCAGTTAACTGCCTCTCTCTTCTCTCACACCGACTAACTCACACTCCTCTTTCACGAGATTTATTTTATTTATTTATTTTTTTTTATTTATTGGTGATTGATAACTTAAAGGGCCCATATTACACCATATTACTCAGTTGTGATGTCATGTGTTAATACAGGAAGTGCTCCACTGTGTTTAAACGTCACTAGAAACATCTGGGTGATTTCAGCCCTGCAGTTGCCAATCTCTGAACTAAAGATAAAAGAAGCTGTTCACCTGAAAACTACCCCTTCATGACATCACAAGGTGGACCAGAGCATCTTGAGCTTTGGAGATGTACACAGACTAATAATAAAGGATTTCTGTGTGAATGTCTTTGAGAAGGTAACAGCAAATCAACAGCTCACAAAAGTCAAATTTAAGTAAAGTTATATTGAATGTAATTGTATGTACAGCCCTAATGTTCCTCTATTCAATAAACGTGCAGGACACTCAGCTCCCGTGTGTCCAGCTTTGTCCTGTGTGAAACAAAAGTGCACAGTGAGACACAGAGGCAGCGCAGGCTCAGGTCACGAACCTGATGAAGTCTCCCTCGAGGCCGATCACCCTCTTGATGATCTTCTGTTGTGGGTTCCTAGGAGATCTGCAAAAATAAATATTGAAAAAATAAAATATTAATAACATTAATAAATATTATAGGTCACTTTACAAAATTAAGGAGACAAAATGAAGCTTATAGATAAACAATGTCAGCATATTTACAATTGTTGCCGACAAGATAGTTTTCCTCATGGATTTGTGTGTACATATACAGACTGCAGTTTCACTACACTGGTCATATTATTATTATTAATCCTGTCAAATCTTCCTTCAGTAGAGGAATCTGTCTAAATGTCTTTATATTACACAGCATTGACTCTTGTGAGCTTTAAGAGTGTTATAATGTCGTTTCCTCATCACAAACAGACCTGGACTTGGGTTTTGTTTCATTCACACGTCTGACCACTTTGTGATGTCATGAGGTGGTAGTTTTCAAGTGAACAGTTCCTTTCAGTAGAGATTGGCAATTCCAGGGCTAAAATCATCCAAATGATTCTGATGGTGTGTGGAGTTTAAAAACACAGTGGAGCGCTTCCTGTATTACCACATGACATCACAAGATGAAACAGAGTGTTTTCTGTTTGAGAGAAGAACTCAGTTTAAAGGGCCCATCTCATGCAAAATAACTCTTTTCACATTGTATCTTATACATATATACACGTCACGTGGGAGGGGGGCAGAAATACACTGCAATTTGTTAAACAAATGCAGAATCAATCTAAAAAACACTTTGGCGACATATACAAGGCCTACACATCTCTCTTAGAAGGTAGAAAGCTCTGAAAAGTTGATTTTGCATGAGATGGGCCTGTTAAGTGTGCAGGATTTGGATATTTAAAATGGGTTTAACTCACACAAAACACATGAGTTGTGTTTTGTGTGAATGAAACAAAACACAACTCTATAGTCCAAAGAGATTAATTTGGTCTTCTGATATTTTATGTTATTAGATTCTTTTTTCAGACCAAGAGTTTTGTTTCATACCTGACAGTATCAATAGTGAGAAGTTGAAACTGTCAGGTATGAAACAAAACTCTTGGTCTGAAAAAAGAATCTAATAACATAATACACAACTCTGTCTGTGATAAGGAAACATTAGAACACAAATCTGAAAACAGAGTAATATGGCCCCTTTAAGGTACACTTTATTGTACCCATAATTAAATTTGTCCTCTGCATTTGACCCATCTTTTAATACAACTGGAGCGGCCTGTCAGAAGAGCCCACAGGGAAGGAAACCACAGAGACATGAGGAGAAAAGCAGGGAGTCAAACTTGGTAAGTTTTTGCTGTGAACCCCTCAGCGACTGTGCCACCAGTCTATTATCGCTTCTTTCAGGGATGTTTTATTTTTGTAAATCCTTTTACAGACCTAAACATCACAGCCTCATCACCAATACATCAGTTTCATTATTCCTTCAAATAAAAACAACAGGTGCATGTCTAAACTTTTAATAGACATCATTATGATCTATTCGTCTCAACATCTGGACACATCTGATTTTAGTTGACTTCATCTGCACCTGCAACATCTGTCTGCACATCTTTGTTCAAACTAGAATGGCCACTTTTTACGGGTAGCTCAACAACTCAAGTACGAGAAGAGCACCGCTGTCGCCTGTGGTCAGGTTTAGCTCCAGACGGTCATTTCTGATTTATTTGGGGCAGAATAAACTGAGAATAGAGTTTTTGTGTTGATACCAGAAGGAGAGGGTTTAAAGCAGCAGATGTCCAGTCCCAGTGCACGTTACGACGAGCTTCAAAACCAGTGTAAAACGTGAAATGTGTTTTTTCAATCACTCTGTGCAAGTCACAACAAAATCATAAAACCAGATGTTTCTTTCTAACGTAGGATCAGGCGATTTGGTAATAAAAAATCGAACTATGGTCTGATCCTGAGGCAGTCTGCTCTTTTGGTGAAATTAGTACATTTTCAAGCTCCCACTCTTTCTGTTGGTCGCCTCAGTCATGCTCGGAGTGAGTGACAGGTGGATTTGACCAATCACAGTGAAGTGTGGCTCTCAGAAAATGTTTAGTTTGCCCTTAAGCCATCACTGTGTTGTCTTAATACCACATAATATCTGGCTCCAATTCACTTTGTATTGAAAAAACTTGCTGCAACTGCTGCTGTCAAACTCCTCATTTTGGTCTTAAAATGTTCATATTAAGCCGCTCTATGCTCATTTACACCTGGAGTCTGTGAGCAGGTTGGTGTAAGCTGACAGTAAATGTTATGTAGATAAACTGACCTGCAAATGAATGAAAACACAGATTACCTGGGGTCATATCATTCAAATGCTACTTAAAAAAAACAGCATAGACATACACACATGTATTCTCCACCGCTCCCCTTAGCCCCTCCCACCAGGACTGCACGATATAAGAAAAAGATCAAAGATTTGATTAACTTGTTTTCTGTTGTGAAAACTATAGACTTAAGCAAACTTTACTGATCCGCAAGGGGAATTATTTGGACAAAGTAGCTCACATAGCAAGTAGCATAAATAGCAAAAGTAACAAGAGTCTGGTGTCAAATAAGGCAATAATTAAACAATTATATATGTACAAGTAAAACAAAAATTTTGAAATATAGTAATACAATATATATATATATTTGGGCTCTAAAGGAGGTGGGTATAACTTAACCATGTGTTTGTCTCCAGTAGATTACACTACTGTAACGGCCTCTGACTGGCCTCTCTAAACGAGCTGTGAGACACTGCAGAACATCCAGAACGCTGCAGCTCAGGTCCTGACCAGGAAGTCAGGACAAATGTGTCCTGTGCTCAAGTGTCTGCACTGCCCCCTGTGGCTCAGAGACTTTAAAGTGGCTCTGCTCGTGTACAAGTCTCTTGCACAAGTCTATGGTCGAGCACCAAAGTCCACGTGTGACATGTTAGTGCCGTTTGAAACATCTGCACTGTGAGAAGCTCAGGGACTGACCTCCTGCTGGTGCTCAGACTCAGGAAAAACTCAAAACTCTAAACACTCAAGCTCAAAACGGTTCTGTTTAGCTGCATTTGACTGAAAGGTTTCCATTCTGCACTCTTCTCTCTCATTTAATCTCTCTCTCTCTTTAATAATTTCATGATGATTAACTCTATTTTAATTTGTTTGTATTGTGTTTTAATGTAGTTCTGTAAAGTACTTTGAATGACTGTGCCTTGGCTTTGGAGGCCTGAGGAGATGAGGCTCGAACCATCAGGATCATCTTTAAATCACTTCTTAAAACTCATTTTTATCAGCTGACCTTCATTTAGCTGGTTTTAGCTTGATTAGCTTTTCCTTAATTATTTATTTTGATTCCGTTTCTTTTTATTTGTTTTCTTATAATGAATTGGAGTGTTTGCATCATTGTCTGTTTTAGAGCCTTCTGTGTGTTATTTTGATGCTTTTTGTGTTGTTCTTTGCTGCTTGTACAGACCTTTATAAGCCTTGTCTTTAAAAGTGCTTAATAAATAAAGATTTATAATAATAATAATAACAATAATAATAATAATTATTATAATAATAATTATTATTATTATTATTATTATTATTGCCTGACCTATTGCAACATTTGAATATACTTTAATACACACAAACACACACACAAACACACACACACATGCACACACACACACACACACACGCACACACTCTACATCAGTAAAATCCTGCCCATCTCATCTGTGTGCAAACTTATTTAGAGATCAGCCACTTGTTTGTCAAACATTTGAAAACCTGTTAGAATCTCTTGTTAAATGATTCCAGTGTCTCAGCAACAGAAAATGCAATACCAACTATCACACCCGTTTAAAACTGGACTTTTATTCTCCCAAAATCTCCACAATATTTTTGTCAACCCGAAACCACTCTTCACTTCCTATTTCCAGACTCGTGTGCAAACCCTTCAGATCCGTACAGACCAACTCTCTCTCCTCCTCTCCTCTCCTTTCTTCTCTCTGCTCCCTCTTCTCTTCTCCTCTCCTCCCTCTCTGCTGCTTCTCCTCTTCTCCCTCTCCTCCTCTCTGCTCTCTCTCCTCTCCTCCCTCTCTACTGCCTTTCCTCTCTGCTGTCTCTCCTCTCTCCTCTCCTCTATGCTGCCTCTCCGTTGCTGTGGGGACAGAGCTGGCTCAGGCTTTGACTGACACGTCTCTCGTCCAATGAGCTCCCTCCCTGTGCCTGGCTGCCGGCTGCTGATTGGCCATGTGTCTGAGGAGAGGCACAGGGGCTGTATCAGCGTGTGGGTTATAGCGATGCGTTTCTCTGCCACTTTGTGTGTGTATTTAATTGAGTGATGGATGTCCTCCTATTCTCCGGCAGCGGATCTTTGCATTTTTGAGCTGCCTTTGAACGCATCTCTAGTCCTGCTGATGCGTTTCGGAGAGACATTAAAGGGAATCTAGGAAATTTCAACCTCTGAGTCAAACATTCTTGGCTCGGCGTGGATGTTAACATGCAGTACGGCTTGTCTGTATTCTACAGTGGACAAATTCAGGTTGAAAAATGCAGTAAGGATGCAGTGATGGAGGGATTAGCAGCTGAGAAGTGAGAGGAGAGAGAGAGAGAGAAAGAGAGGGAGAGGAAGAGGAGGACGCCGCATGGATCTTCTGGTGAGTGCGTTTTTCAATGTCTTTTTCAGGCAGATTTTTGCGCTATGGTCCTTTCCAACTCGAGAGGATTTTTGACGCAGACCCAAGCATGATTTCACTTCAGAATTTTGACAGGTGACGAAATAATCACTATAAAAAAAACAAACAAACATATACATAAAAACTAGGAAAGCTACCAGGTGTCATTTTGTTAAGTGAGCAAATTTTTTTTAGAAGACGGTCTTCCAAAATGAAACAAACTCCATCATTCCTTAAAAGAGAAGCTGATAGAATGCTGTAGTTGCCATTTGAATCGAAAGGGTGCAAATACAGAAGAGAAGAAAGGAGTTTTAACAAATACAGTAAAGCAATGATGTAAGAAAAATACATCTCAAATCTTATATCTCAGAAAGAAATCTCCAAAAAATCATAAAAATGAAATAATAAAAAATGAAATTGTAGCTAAATTT